CAGCCTAGACCCGGCACCCGGCGGCCCGGCGGCCGGCCCGCCCCCGAGGGCGCCGGGCGCGGCGGGAGGATGCCGAAGCCGACGCTGCTGCTGCGCGGGGGCTGGGAGCGCGAGCGCAGCCCCGGGGACTCGGAGCTGGGCCGCCAGTTCCGGGACTGGTGCTTGCGCACCTACGGCGACTCGGCCAAAACCAAGACGGTGACACGCAGCAAATACCAGCGGATCGCCGAGGTCCTGCAGGGCGGCGGCGGGACCGGCGCGGGCAGCGGCCCGGCGGCGGGCGAGAAAGGCAAGTTCCAGTTCTGGGTGCGCTCCAAGGGCTTCCGCCTGGGCAGCGGCCGGGAACCCAAGATGGGCCAAGTGGTGTATGTGCCGGTCAAGACAGGCTCGGTGAGTGCGCGCGCGGCGGCCGCGGGCCGGTCCCGCCGCGGGGCTCGGGGTGGGCGGGGGCGGGTTGGGGGTGTGGATGTGTGTCCGAACGTGTGTCCTGAGGTTGTCCGTGGGTCTGGCTTGCCCGAGGCGCACACGTCCCTGCTCACCCGCCCGCCCCGGCCCGCCACGGCAGCGCTCGGGGTTTGGGGCGTCCCTGCCCCCCTCTGCGCCGCTGCCGGGGCTGTGGCCGTGCCGGGCAGGCTGTCCCGGGCTGCTCACCCCAGCATGTTCAGTCCTCCCGTCCCCTCCCCCCGCCAGCAGGCGGCTGCTCCGAAGCCTGAGCTCCCCCCACACACACACACACCCGCCCGCTCGCCCCGGGGCTGCCTGTCCCGGGCGCCTCGCGCTCCCGCCCCCGGGCCGGCTGGGCGGTGTGTGTGTGTGTGTGTGTGTGTGTGTGTGTGTGTGTGCGCGCGCGCGCGCGCGTGTGTGTGTGTGTGTCTGTGTGTAGGGTGGTGCCGCGGAGGGGGGCAGGGGCAGCCACGGGACGGGGAGTCCACTCGCCTTCTCAGCGCCAGGGGAGGGGGCCCGCCCGGGCACTGTCTCCTCGACCCCACCCGAGGCTGGCCCGGGGAGGGGCAGCCCGAGCCGCAGCCTGGCGCAGGAGCAGCCTCCCGCGGGTGGGTGGGGCGCCCCCTCCGCCCCCCGGGCCCCTAGCTCCCCCCTCCCTGGGACGGGGGCGGCCTGACCTATCCATCCCTTCCCCTCCCCCGTCCCCGGGGCTGGCCCGGTCCGGGCGGGGTGGCGTGGGGGAGGGGGCGGGGAACCGCAGCCGCCGGGAGGAGGCGGGTGGCCGGGCGGGGGCGTCCCCTCCGGCCCGGGGCGCCCTGGAGAGGGCGTGCGGCGCGGGCCCCGCGGCTCCCCCGCGGGACCTCATTGTTCTGCAGCGGGTGGGGGCTGGGGGGGGCGGCTGCTCTCGGGGCGCTGCTGAGCTTTGAACTTTTCGTCTCGGAGACCCTCCATTAGTGCGTTCAGCCCTCGGCCCTCCGGCCCCGCGCCGGCCTCCCTCCCTCCCTCGCTCCCCCGCTCCCCCCTCCGTGCTCCTCCCCCGTCCGGCCCGCCCGCCCCGCGCTCAGCCCCGTCCCCGGCCGGAGCGGGCTCTTCACACACAATTGATTCGGTCGTTACGAAAAGTGCACTTGTCCCCTCCCCCTCCCCCTCCGGCGGCCGCCCGGGCCGGGCCCACGGGCTGAGGGGGCCGAGAAGGAGGGGGGCGGGAGCCAGGGAACGGATCCGGAGGCGCCTCCCCCCGCGCCCTGGGGACGGGGCTGCAGGCCGCGGGGAGTGCGGAGCCGTGAGCGCGGAGGGCGGGCGGCCCATCTGCGAGGAGCGCTGATCACCGCGCCGCTGCCTCTGCGGTCGCCAGCAGCCCATCTGCGCCGCCGCCGGCACCGGCCGGACCCAGAGCAGAGGGCTGGGCCGAGGGGCGCGCCGGGGTCGGATTCCCCAAGAGGAAGGCTGGGGCAGTGTCCCACCCCGCGCAAGTCAGGGACCCCCCAACCTAAATCAGTGCTCTCTCCCAAACCTGGGGAGTCTGGATCATTGCCCCCTCCCCTGATGGAGTCCGAGACCCCTTTTCCAGCCCAAATCAGTGCCCGCTTTCTCACAAGGGGAGTATGTGTCGTTGCCTCTCCCCAGCCTAGGTCAGCCCTCCCAGCCCTCCTATTTCCTACCTCCCTCAGTTCTCCCCGATCTTGGGCTAGTGTCCCCAGCATAGGTGTGGTTTTTTGAGGTCAGTGACCCATCAGATGGCTGGCTGGGTCTGTGCCTCCTACCCTGGGTCATTGCCCTGAGAGCTCCAGGTTTCCCTGTTAGTGGCCCCCATCCACCCCGTCCAGGTTATCCTTCCCTAGGGAGCTGGGAGTATTGGCCCAACCTCTTTCTTAGTCTGGAGCAGGAGCCCCCCACTGCACCCGCTCCTGGAGTTCTGGGGTGACCCCCAGACCTGGTAGCTGGCTTACTGGTCGTCTGTGTGGGTGGACCTCTCCTCTAGGGAGTGGGCATCATAAGGCAGTTCCCCTAACCCATTTGCCACAGCTGTCAAGGCAGAGCAAGAGCACATGTGTCCATTCAGGCCACATGCAGAAATTGGGTGCTAGGCCTGGGTCTCACATCCTGTCAGCCCAGCCAGTCTCTTCAGACCCTTCATGAGGCCCACACTGACCTGCCCTGGCAGCAGGGGCCTCATAAGCCTCCACCCTGGCTCCCAGACCAATAATAAGCCCTCCCCAAGGGACCACCTGCCTGGGAGGCAGAGAAAGGGGCCCCAGGCCTCCCTGCCCAGGCTGCCAGGAGGATAACAAACACAACAGACCTGCCCTCCTGTGACAGCCCGCCCATTTGAGCTCTCCACACCCACCTGCCTGGCCTGCTGGTCCCCAGAGAGCCTGTTAGTTACCTGCCACTTGCCCAGCCAACCGGAGCCAGCCACAGGAGATGCCCCTAGTCTTGCCACCCCCATATCTAAGCACCTTCCTGGGGCTCAGTTATTATTTTTCCATTTCCATTTTCCTTTTCACTGATCTAAGAGGAACAAGTCCTGCTGGGAATTCAGGGGCAGCCATGGCTTGTTCCGGGGAGGGGCTGAATGGGACCTTCTTTGAAAGGTGCAAAGGACATCTCCCACTTTCACTCCGCCCCCCCCAAGCACCCACACACATCCAGTTAAAGTTATCATTTCCTCTGGTGGCAGGTAGGAGAGGTCCTGTAGTTTTGTCCTGGGTGGGTTTTGTGAAGGTCATTGGGCCTTAAACCTTTGTCTCAGGCATTTGTTTAGCACCCACAGGCCTTGTGGGGGGCATTGGGGCTTTGCGGGTGGGTTGGACTCTGTGCCTGCTCCTGGAGAACCCAGCTGGTGGGGGAAGTGGGTACTACTGAGGATATGATCAAGAAACCAGGCAGAACAATTTCAGGAAAGTGGGGTATGGGAGTTGGGTCCTCCAGCAGCTGAACATGGGCCCCCTGCGTGGGCTCGGTCCTAAGGGTGGCCATGGTGTGTCATCTCTCTTCTATGTTGCTGCCCCCTCCCTGGGCCCCCTTTCCTCCTCCCACAGCCATATGCGGTGCTGTGGTTGGGGCCCTTCCCGAGTCCTGGCCAGCAGCAGGTCGATGATCTGACACCACTTGTCCTGTCCCATCTGGCCCTGAGCTTTTCTGGGTGTGTGTGACAAAGGCTTAATCTGTCCGGACGGGCCCAGGGCGGAGAGGAGGGCAAGGGGAATTACACTCTGCAGGGGCCTCCTGCAGCTGGGGCCCTGGTGGGGGCGGGGCAGGGCGGGGGTCGAGCAGCAGAAGCCTGGGCGTGGGGGGAGAGGCAAGTTGGTCTTCAGTTTGCAGGTTGTCACAGGAAATAGAAGTGGAGGCGGAGGACTGAGGGGAGGAGGGCGGAGTCCTCCACACTGGGCACGGGGCGCTCTTGGGGATAAGATCTTTTTATGACAAGAGCCAGCTAGGCCTCCTGGCTGAGCAAAGCCTGGGTAGGATTTATTATTTCTTGAGTTTGGCCTGCTCCGGCCTCCGTGGGCTGCCAAGCAGGGGAAGCAAACCCCTTAGAGGCAAGACCCTCTGATTCCGTTCCAGCTTCAGCCACAAAGTGAACCAACCCCTTTCCTTTTCCTCTGGCCTCTCAGAGCTGTGCAAGGGGCTCAGGTTATGTCTGGGGCAGGGCCCTGGACCATCTGTCAACTCCCTGGACCAGAAAGCCCCCAAGCTTCTTGGAGATAGATGTTCTCAGCCCAACTCTGCCATCTTCCAGATGGAATAACTGAGGCTTTGGGAGAGGAAGTGTCCATTGGTAGGGAGTCAGGACTGGAATGCAGATGTCTGTGCTTCACTGTGGCTTCTCCATGGCCCATCACATGCCAGGATCCCCCCATTAGAGCACCATTTCCCCAGGGGAAATACCGGATTGCCAAACTCCACTCTCAACACCAGGCTTTTTTTGAGCTGGACCCCAGGTGTTCCGCTGGCCAAATTGACTAATGGTGGTCTTTTCCCAGTTTGCAGACAACGTTCATTTAGTGGAGAGCATTTTCACAGTCCTCAGTCTTTTTCCCCAGAGCTTTTGTGTAAACCTTTGGCACCTGCGGCCGCTGGTCTAGGCGGGAAATGGCCTCTGACTTAGCACAGTGTAATATATGTTGTGACCTTCCGTTGAATGCCTCAATATTTCCTGCTTTTCTCCAAATTATCACTACAGTGACGCTTTCTGAGTTAACTGTTGTGTGCATGTCACTGTGCTGAGATGCTGATACCACTGACTTTTCGAGTTCTCACAGCTGCCCAGTTCAGTGCTGTTATTATTATTGCCATCCTTCAGATGAGTAAACTGAGGCTTAAGGAGGCTCAGAATTTCCCTAAGGGCACCACTGATGGGGACAGGCCCTGAGCTTGGGTACTGCCTGCGCACATGTCCATTCTGACCCTGTCAGAGATGTCTTGCAGCTTGATCCAATTTGAAAGCCTAGGTCCTTCATGACAAGCTTTCAGTTGATTACACCTTAATCTGAATTAGTTTAGAAGAATCCCTCTGGTCAACATGTCTGTAATCACAGACTGGTGCTTGAGGCAGGATTGGCTCCCTGTAAGGTGTCTGGGAGCTTTCTTGGGGCTCACAAGGACAGATATGGAGTAAGGAGAAGGGAGGAGGCCTCTGTTGTCCTCGGTCCTGGGGGACGTTGGGAAGAAAGTTGACCATGAGGTCTGGCATGGGCTCCATTTGAATTTCTCATGGCAGAAGTGGGCTATTTTATCAAGTAAGCCTCAGTGATCCCCGTGAATGTGGTCTTGGGGACTCTGGGGGACTGCATTTTGGAGGCTGGGTGGTGTTGGAGGATCAGGCTCTGCCTTTCTGGGACCTCCCTTCTGGGTCCTGGGTCACTGTCTGCTCCGGGGTGGGGGCAGCCTGCCCCCTTCTCCTTTGAGTCAGACCTGGAATGAACATCCTCTCCTTTGTACCT